TTGCCGGCACTTCTTTATCTAATAATCCTCTGCGATTTCATCAGTTCCTCTTTTCTAACTTGGAAAGGAAAACACATATGGAAATTATAATAAAGAGACCGGAAAAACACTCGGCTGGATACCAGTTTGATTACAAATCTGATTATTAACTTAACCTGCACTTTATATTGACCTTTATTGAGATAATCTCTGTTATTATATAGAGAGCATTTTCCACTTGAATTTTTATTAGATACTTCACTTGAACAAAACAGAGCAGCTCTGTAGTAGCAACTACTTAAACGGGGTTAGCTTCCAGCAATACTCTTCATGCCTGTGTATTCGTTGTATTTGAGTTGTCCGCCTTGACAATGAAGTAGGTAAAATTCTTTAACTTTATGAGCTTGTGATATTTTGAAGCTTTGCAAGACAAGGGAGTAATTTCAGAACATCCAAAATTGTGATGCTCATCATTTATTTGCTTAATATAGCTTGCTTGTATTGTTGTTTGCCACTTTTGGGCAACTGCAGTCCATACTTGCCACGCTATCGTACCATATCTACTGCAAACTAATGGTGGCTCAAGGGTTAGACAAATTAGGCAGTTGATTAGGCCCCTGAGTAGAAGAGGGCCTACTTATTGTATATTCATTATACAATATGTGTATACATCAAAGAAATTATAGTCAAAATAATTCTTCAAAATAAAAAGAGTAACAAAAAATCTTAGATTATAATTCACTACATAAGAAAAGGAATACAAAAACTTTAAACAATCAGCTGTAATTTTCTTGTTTGAGTCTACTTTCTTTACCTCGGTCCTGATAAAGCTGATGCAAATAATGGAGTAGTAGCACCATTGCCATCCACTTGGTGACCAGCAACTGTAATTGCTCTTGGTACCACAGGAGTTGTGAAGCTATAATCCAAATTGTTTTCAACTTCAACTAAAGCCTCCAAGACCTTAACCACCGCTGACATAGAAGGCCTCCTTAAAAAATCACTTTGTAGACACCACGCAGCAACCCTCATCATTTCCACGACTTTTGCTCTATTTGTCTGCATGTCATCATTGTATTTATCAACAATATCCAAAAGTCGTTCCTCTTCTACTTTCCTCTTAAATAGACACTGCTGGAAATTGAAGTTTTAGAGGCGTTTAAAAAACGCCGCTATAGGTCTTAAAAACGCCGTTAAATCCTTTTGTGATGTTTAGCACCAAACGCCGAAGATGCGGCCGCCGCTAAAGGTTCTACTCAATGTCACATGACGTCACCATGCTATTTAACGACGTTTTTAAAACGCCGTCGTATCTACTTTTCTCAAAAAAATCCAACCGTTAGGATGCTATTTAGCGACGTCTTAGAAATGCCGTAATAGCCCTCTTTTTTTTTTCTAATTTGTGCTAATTTTATGTTAAATGCCTGTAATTTCAGTAGCAGACAAACTTTTAAATATAGGAATACAAAAAATTATTAAAAAATGTACAACCATGGTACATAATTACAAAATATTGAAGCCAAAAAAAATCATCATCCCATCAAAGAACCAATTAAGGAAAACAGAGAATTATAAAGGAAAAATCACCATCCAAAATAAATAAAATATCTCAGGTGCCAGTATGAGGAGTCACAGAAGTAGGCATATGAAGGAAAAGAGAAATATAGCATGTAATGTTAAACATGATAATTCCATTTCCTGGGGAGAGATTGGGAAGGAAACTGTGAGTAAATGTGGCCTCCTAGAAAATAAAAATGAAAAGGGGTTGAAAATTACATTCAGTGGAGTAGTCCAGCCTCTTAAAATATGCATACGTGAACAACTGGTTAAGGTTTGGCAACTAAAAGGAATCAGTAAAAAATCAGATTAATATACAAATGCCAACTTTAGGCACCAATCATCAACCCAATGGAAAGGATACATAACAATCTCCTTTTCATAGGTATACTTAAATGGCTTGCTTCTTGGAATTGGTTATAGAATGTGCATCAACTCAACCTACAACAGAAAAACATAATCTTAGCTCAGCAAATAAACAAAAGTTAAAGAAAAAGAAACCTTAGATGAGATATTACCTAGCAATATCACCTCGTAATATATTTAAAAGAATTGTTTCAGCAATATCATCTACATTATGCCCAGTAGCTAGCTTGTCTACTTTTAGCAATGAGGCACCACAATCAAGGGCCTTGCAGAGAAAGCATTCCATCATTACAATCAAACTCAATTCATTTCATCATTTCTGCATCCAGAAACAAGGGCAGGAAAAAAGAGAAATTAAGTTCATCAATTTGAAAATGCATAACTGCTCTACCTGGCGACGGAAAACACCACAAAATGTGCAATTGTTCTTTAATCGAATAATCTTCACTATTTCGTCCATTGTCCATCCGTACAGTTCCTTGTAAGACACCACTTTTAGTGGTAGTCCATACTGAAAAAAGGAAAAGGAAAAAAAGGACACACATAAGCACACAGGACTCGTTGATTAAAAAGACTAAAGATTAAAAACCATTTTATTAGCTAAAATAGAAGTTCTTAGAACAGCAAGAACAAAAATTAATGAGTCAGCAACAACAGTAAAGAAAAGATTGCAGGACAAAAAGAAAAATTAAAATGTTGTGCTGCAAGAAAATAAATAAATGAACCAATAGCAGAATAAGCAAAAACGACCCAACTTGTTCTAAACTAAAAAATCAGGAGACTTGCTCACCTGGACTTCATTTCTTTTAACAGTTTCAAGTGAATCATCCCTATACCCTGTGATGCCTTCATCAACTGACAAGAGAAATAGATTTACGCCATAATTATGCCGACGATTCAGCTCTGACAACACATAAGCAAGCACTGTGGAATCCGCACAAAGGGGAGGAACAATATGAAATGCGAGGGGGAAACAATCGTGTTCATAGCTTTTGCCTGTAATCAGTCAGATAGAGATGTGACTAAAAATACAACAGCATAACCTAACACATCCACACACCAAAAAAAAGTAGCAGATAACCTCTGCTCCTGCAGTGAGAACCCACAGGAAGGTACCTCTTTCCACAAACTCTCTCTCCAAAAATCACACATCAGAAAGATGGCAACATAGCATTTAAATTTAATCTCTCATGCATGAAATGGGTGAGGAAATAAATGAAACTACACTTGCTTCTCTCTGTTTTTTATTCAATTACATCGACATCGAAACTGCAGTGCTTTGTCTGAACTAGAAACATCTGAGAGCATAAACCAAAGGAAAAAATCAACCTTACATTCTACAGAAAAAATTAATAAAAAGCACTGCATACTTGCCATCAACTCCAAGGAAAATTAATAAAAAAACACTGCATACTTGCCATTAATTAGAAAAAATTAATCAACCTGACATTCACTTCCTTTGTTTTTTTCTGGAAACTTGACATACTGTCATACTTGCCATCAACTCCAAGGAGTTCATTTTCTCCCTGCTAAAGATAACCTGAATAACCCAATTTTTGTCAGCTGTTGAGAGACTAAATTATAAGGAAAAAAGTTAATCTCAAAAAGAAAAAGAAAAAAAAATACAAAAGATATCAATTCATCACATTATGCACTACAACTTCAAAAACAAGTGGCCAAAAAAGTTACCCATAATGCATTGGATGCCTTGCCAAGTATGCAATACTGATAGCTTCTCTATCATTTTCAGAGACCTGCATTGTTTATCAAAACAAAAAAATATGTGTACTTCAAAAATTTCTACACAAGACTACAAACTGGCTTTTTTTTTTTTCATTAAATTTCTACACGGACTAGTTTCGACAGCAGCAATTCAATCAAACTGAAATTTTATCATGCCTCATGACAGCTGCGAACATGCTGGGCAGAAGAGTAAGTAGAAAGCGCTGATCCAGTCACAGTCAACGAATGCTTCGCGAGCCCCACGCTTTTCTTTGTTGCCAACCACATAGTCTAAAAGAATCCAATCCAACCTGAGATGCACATGGATTTAAGAAACAAGATGGTAACATCAGGAGCAAATTCATCATGAAAATTCACAGGGTTCGGCTTCTATAAACTTCAATACGAGCCTAGTAATTTTATGGGAGAATACATGGGTTGGTTGAGAAGGTCCAAAAAAGAAACTGGCTCCAGCTTCGGGTGCACAAAAAATAATATTAAATCTTTAACTGGTACAAAATGTACAGTCAAATCTCAAGAACAATAGACATTCATCCCCAAGAACACTACCAAGCTGAAGTCTATTGGCTGATCTATCTAGATAGAGCCAAGTGTGAGCCCAAACTGATAATGCCTCAATGTAAATTGCCGTCACACAAGCAAAGAAAATAGCCAATAAGCCCCCTGCCGCAGCTAAAGACACGAGAATAGAAATTATAATGGCATTGACGATTGCTGCCAGAAAGAAAAGCATAAAGACTACCAGTCCTGTTAAGGCCAGAAGCCCAATAATAGTTCCAACCTGAAGCAATTTTAGAAAGTAATTCATAAGAAATATAGAAACAACAATTTATAAAAAAATAAAATAAAAAAAGTTCGTTTAAATTAGGCAAGAACCGTATGAAGATTAAAATCCAACAAAACCAGGAGTCTTTTAATTTACCCCGAGTAAAACTCTAAAACAAAAAACAAAATATTAACGAAGAAGCAGATGTATAGCTAGGCCAAATACCAGTATCTTGCATCAACAAATGCCATACTGCAAAAAGCAATCAAATACTACGGAAGACAAAATAATGATTACAACAATTTTCAACTACAAGTCAGAGGTACTATTGTCATTTTTTAAAACATTCAATGGAATCCTCTAATAGAGTCGTTTACATTAAGACAAAATAATAATTATGAAGGGATTTGTTTTGATTCTTATGATCCCATATCAATTAACAATAGGCTTGGCCATGTGAAGTGGGATAGTTTTTAATAGCAATTTATTTCTTTTTTTTATTCCATTTATCTGTCTCTCCCCCACCAATTAGTTAACCAATTTCGTACTTCTCTCTATTAACAAATTACAGCAAAATAAGAAGTTTGAGAGAGAACTTCGAAATCGCTCTGATGAATCACCGACTTATTGACGGTAAACCTATTCAAATAAACAGTCAACGCAACTTATTGACAGTAAACCTGTTCAAATAACCCAAGATAAGATCTGACCACGTAGTGAATAAATAGCTTCTCAACCATGCAGAGTTCTCTATCCGGAAGCTGTTTGACAGAACATACCACAATAAATTACCATTAAACTAAACATGAACTTGAATTGATTTCTTCAATTAAAATGGGCTAAAAATATATTTGAACTCACTGGAGTGAGCTTGTTAAAAAGTGACGCAATTAAAACGTCGTGCACAATCATCATCACAAGAGATAGTACAAGCAGAAACCCCCAAAGATAGATGGCGAAGGACTTCCTTTCTGCAACCCAGACAAATGAACATTTTTTATCACCAACCAGCAAAGTAAAACAGGAAATGTCTTAATACAGTGAAAAAAACAGTACCTGTACTATTACAATAATTGCTGCGACAATAGGCGGTCCAATTATAGTTGCTAGGATGATTCCTTTAATCATGTCCCTAATGAATAACCATATTGTTTGCTGTTACTTCAGCAAAACAAGAGCAAGAATGTAACAACTAAATTTTTAAGGTAGGAAATAACAATATATGAACATGATAATCAGTAATGAGAGAGTACAAACTTTGATGAAACCATGGCGGGCCTCAATGACAAATGTTGAATATAAAGAAAATGGCAAGTCAGTAATCCGCAAAGATTCCAAAAATAATGAATATCAACTAGTTTGAATACAATAGGAATATAGTTACTTCAATGCATCCACTTATGAGGATGCACATTAATTTTAAAAAAAAATCATGCCAAATATGATGTATCCATTCCATCAGGTGCAGCCAAACCAGGAAAATTAGCTAGCCTTGACCTATAATAAGTTTAAGCAGTTTGTTGGCAAGACACTGATCCGAATATAAGCAATCAACCAATTCAATAAAAACTCAAGAGGCTGGTCATAAAGAACTGCAGCACTACAAATTTAAAACATGGAAGAAAACAAAAAATGTACCATTAAACGGCTTAATAATAAATTTGAACAAGCAGAATGGAGGCTATTGCAAACTTTTAGAAGACCCATCTTACTTAATTCCCCAGTTTTGTGCCAATTCATGTTGCATTGCCCTTGTCGCGCATAAGGAACCATTTGTCATCTTCCCAAAATGCTTCTCAAACCTAGACATGCACCAAAAACTCACACTTCAGGTATGAAGACAAAGAAAGGCCTTCAAATCCAAAGGAAAGTTCACAAGTCAATTCAAGTGTACCAATGGTATATTGCCACAAAAACACTACTTCTTCCGAGAGACAATGCTAGCAAAGTATATCCAAAATTGTGCCAATCAACAATAAATGCAGAACGCCTCAACCAGCTTGCCCACTATACAGCCACTAAAGTTGGGACAGAAGGTGGATTCTACAGAAGCCGAAACAAGGTAGTTTAGACCAAAATATCAATCCAAGCATGCAAGGCACGACACTCCTATTCAAAACTGACTAGAATCATGGCCAAGCAAACATAGCCATGGATGATTACAGGTTAGGCCCATTTTGGGCCACCAATATTTTTATAGGTTGAAGCTGCTACTACTTTGTTCAGTATGTGACCCCTAGTAAAAGAAGAAAGACAGAAATTGGACACTAACAATATTTTTTCCCAAAACTTCAAAGCATTCAATAAAAAGAACCAATAAGATAATAATAATGCGCAAAAGATAACATATAATACTTCCTCTAATGAAATTGTTACCAGATATTCTACCTAAATCATGCTTATTTCAATGAACTTTTTCAATGCTAACACTTTAGCAGTTATATAAGAAAAGTTCTAACGATTTACAGTAATAAAAAGGTCATCAAAACACTGCCAAAACAATATAACTTAAAAAGTGTCAAACAATGTATTTTGACAATAATTCAGCCACATACATCTTTCAGAGCTCACCTGCACTATAAAAACATCAGGAGCAGGTATTTTGACACAAAGAAACCAAAGAAGCATAAGAAACTGAATCAATGGCTTGAGCAAAAGCATCAAGGGACGAAGTATCTTTGGTAAATTCCGAGGGATTGTTGGCCACTGTGTCTGCAGAACCAGATTTCAAAAAAAAAAAAAAAATACATGTAATGAGTTTTAGAGTTTTGAAAAAACACTCAATCAACAGGACATGCTTAAAACCAGTATCATTTTATGAATATGAATATATTGGTTCCCTAATACAATTGAGTAGGGGTCAGAGCCTATCATCCTATACTGGGGAACATTTTTTTCCAAAAGAGAAGTCAAGACAATCATGACCACATGGCCACTGAGTTTTACTAATGAGAATCTGTAAATATATTAATTTGTAAGCTTGGCAGCATTCTATCATTCATTATTCATAATCTTTTTATCTATTACTCATTGGAACAATTGATTTCCATATTTATTTGTATGTAGACAGTAAGTTCTGTTTACAGTCGCATCTTTCACTCTTATTTCTTACTTAAAGCCCCTAATCTTGTCACTGGAATAAGTACAAAAGATTCACAAACTTAACTCCTAAAAATCAGCTAGAGCCATTAAACTTTGCAACCCTAACAACAATGCCATTGAGAAAAGTATAATATGTGCATATATCAGAATTGGGACCAAAAATCAGATCAGCATAGGAAAAAAACAGGCTAATATTGTTGATGCTAATTTAGGATTTAAAACAGGGTAATAAAAAAACAGAGAGTGAAAAATAAAGAACACTGGTTGAAAAATCAGTTCTGGCGATCTGGGGAAAAATAAATGAGATGTGTAAAACACTGATTGATCAATCCAAACTAATCAATAAAAAACAGTGATTAAAATTCTTCAAAACATTGATTGAAAACCCTAGGAGAAGAATCGACGGGAAGGAAGAACTTGAGAGAGAGAGAGGGAGAGAGAGAGATATAGAGCTTGAGATTTTCTGAAGCAATGGTGCTCACCTTGGTAGATGATGGTGCTCACTTTCCTCGCTGGACGAATCTGAGATTGAATCACCGAGCTTTGAAATCGAGAGAGAACTTCGAAATCGCCGAATGAATCTGAGATTGAATCACCGAGCTGAAGAAGGTTGAACTTCGAAATCACCTTCAGTCCATCAACAAATCTTCAATCGATCGATCTGATCTAAGAATGATAAAGTAGATAAAACCTAGCATACCTGAATCGAATGATTCCATCAGTAAGTATCATCTTCAATCAAACTTGAATGTGAGAAGATAGAGATAAGACTGATCAACACTTACCATGAAGAAAGACCTGCGAACTCGAACACGAACTCGAGATGACACATTATGATCTGCGAATCAATGATCTACGAATACTTCAATCGAATAAACAAAGAGATGAATCGAATACTTAAAGAGAAGGGTTGCAGATTAATCGATTACTAAATGAAGGGGTTTGAATCGAGAGAAACGAAAGGGTTTGAAGCAAGAGAGAGTGAAATCAAGGGTATAGTGAGAGCGAGAGAGAGAATAGGCTATTTAAGTCAATAAAAAAAAAAAAAAAAAAAAGCGGAAAAACATTTTGAAGGCGTTTCGAAAGTTAAAACGGTGTCGTATCAGTCAATAAGAATGTGACGTTTAAAAAAACGCCGTAAAATATTAGAATCAAAGGCGTTTTTTTAAACGCCGTCAAATAAACGCCGTTACATCTCACTTTTCTTGAAGTGAGACCTAGTAAATGCATATCTTCTTTAGGCTGAGATCGACCCAAATTTTTTCACCCACACAACATTTCTAAGACCACGACACCAAAGCTATAGACATCTACTTTCTTAGTGATAATTGAGCTCAACCATTCGGGAGCCAAATAGCCTGGTGTTCCCCTCATCATTGTTACAACTTGGCTTTGGTCCTTATCAATTAGTTTTGACAATCCAAAATCAGAAATTTTCACATTGAAACATTCGTCTAAGAGAATGTTTTGGGGTTTGATATCCAAGTGAAATATTTTCTGTCTGCATTCCTCATGGAGATAGGTTAGCCCCTTGGCTATATCCATGATGATCTTTTTTCTGGATTGCCACCCAAGTGTGAGGTCTTGGTGCCTTTGGAAGATCCATGTATCCAAGGATCCATCAGACATGTACTCATAAACTAGAAGACGATATGATTTTTCAGCACAAAATCGAATTAATCTCACCAAATTGACATGGTGAGTGCTGCCTATTGTCTCAACTTCAGTTAAGAATGACTTCTTAACCTGACCAAAACCATTGAGACGCTTCACTGCTACATTGGTGCCATCACTTAGTGTCCCTTGAAACACTGACCCAAATCCTCCTTCGCCAAGCTTGTTATCGAAATTGGTTGTCATGACTTTCAATTCTTCATAAGAGAATCCGGTAGGCATCCCTGGTAGTTGATCAATATAGAACTTATCAAGTTCCTCGGATTCTCCTTTATTTCTAAAAAGGAAAAAGCAAAAGGCAACCACAAAAAATACACCAAATAAAGCACCGAGACTGGATCCAAGTATGATCATGACTTGCTTTGATTTCCTACGAGATTTCTGTACTTTAAGAAACATAGTAACGTCATCACCCCCTCTCTCATTATTTATAAGAGAAAAGACTTCAGATAATAATAAGCAACCTTGCCTTGAATCGTTAAAGCCCAACCTATTTAAAAACAAAGCTGCTTTGCATGAGCAGTTTTTCAGGCAACTTGTCTTGCAATCGTTTAATGCTAATTTTTCATCCAAGTAAAAGTTCGTGGATGTGTATGCGTACGGGTTAATGTAAAAGTAACTAGCATTGTTAAGCTCCAATAGGGTGTGATATTGAGAATGGTCACAAGAAATGGGTGTAGCAAGGGAACATCCAAGGTTGGGTTGCCTATAACTTATTTGCCTGAAAGTGCTTGTTTCACTATTGGCATCGTCAGGACAGGCACACTGCCCATTTGAAGAACAGATGCCGTAATTGCCACACGACATGGGATACCCACACTCGCTGCCCGAAACACCATGGGATGTCAGCTGATCCGCCACCTCATTCCATTCCTGTCCTGCCAACTCATAAGCCTTCAAATGCCCATTAGGATCCAACCTTATGAACTGAGCTGACGATGATGATGTAACAGGGATTTTCTGCCCAATAAAGCTTTCGTTCTCGAATTTGACATAGTTCACATTCGAATAGATTTCAAAATAGACCAAGGGTGGATTGGATCCTACATAACCGGACAGACTGTGATGCTGAAGCGTTAGCGAAAACAAACCTGGAGTCCAGTTTGATGCGTTTGTGCTGGAGATGAGCTTCTGGCCAGGAAACAAAGCCTGACCAACAAGTAAGGAGTCAGTTGGGTGATCAAATGACTGCCAAACCGTTTCACTGTTTGGGTCAAAGAGGACTAGGTTTCCCAATTCGGTGAATTTCATGCCGAAGACGGACTTTGATGATATGTTGGTAGACCAAACGAAAGTGCCATCCGAGTCATGCAATATCAAATCTCCATCTCCAGTGAGTTGCAAGGTGGCGGTAATTTGAACAGGACGCTCTCGATTAGCAGACCAAACCAGTTGCGGGGCTCTTATAAAGGAAAAGTTGTTGATAGATGGGTGTATATACTATCGAAGATTACAACACCAAAGAGGCATGATGACTGAGTTTGTTGAGTTGAAGGGCAATCGAAGCCACAGATCAAATGTGAGCCAATATTGGATGATGCTTCGAGGACTGATGAAAAATCGGTGTAAATTGAGGGGTTGTTGCTCCAATTAGTAGATAAGTTAGCCATTGGAGGTGCAATTAAGGCATTGTTGAAGAAGGGTACAAAGGCTATGAAAAAGATGATAACAGCACCAAGATGATAACAAATAGTGCAAGATAGATCCATTGGTGGTGGTGTTCTATCCATTAGAGCTCTGTTTCTTCTTCTGGATCATAAGTTTTGGCTTTCTTTTGCAAAAGCAATTTAAAATCAGAGAAGGCATAGAAGAAGACAGGTGCATTTGAAATGTTCCACTCTGTAAATGCTTAAAAAAATTAGGAGAAAAGACCGTATACATTTTATAATTAAAATAAAAAAAAACATAATTATATATTTTTTAAATTATAATTATATAAAAAAAATTATAATCAAACACATATAAAATATAATTAAAAAATTTTAAATCATAATTAAAATAATATTATAATTAAAAAATAAAATTAATCATAATTAAAAAAAATAATATAAATAAGAATGCATATAATAATTTTTCCTGTCAATTCAAAGGAAAGTGCACTTGATACACATATATATATTAAGAGGCTGACACTTGAAATGTTGTTCAATTCTTTTTGGGTTTGTTTGGTTTGTATTTTAAGATATAACTTTTAAGAAATTTTTTTTAAATTTTGTTTCACTTAAATTTTTGAAAAAAAAAATTTCAAAATCACTTTCTCTCTCCTACACTTCAATCAATCACTTTTTCTCTCTCATGTATACTTCTCAATTACTTTTTCTCTCACACACATCTACTCAACTATAACAAAATATCAAATCATCTCAAACTCCCAAACTGTAAAACTACTTTCAAAATATACAACCAAACAAACCAAAAAAATTCTAAACTCTCTCTCCAATTTTTATTTTTTATTTTTTGAAAATTTATCTCAAAACACAAACCAAATACACCCTTTAGCTTCATTTGGAAGTTAGTTATTTTAATTTTTAATTATTTTAATAGGTTAAAATATTTATGTTTAAGAAGCTAATTAGATTTTTTTTATAGTTAGATGTAATGTTTTTGAGAAAAAAAATGAAATGATTATGAATATAATATGATATTTTATCTTATAAATTGTTTTAACTTATTTTATTTTTTAATAGATTTACAAAAAAAAAAAAAAAGCACCTTTGCCAAAGAAGACTTAATCGCGCTCGCATTTTGACTAAGCTTTCGTTTGGCAACTTGGATACGGTTGGATTTGGGGCTATTTTAACCATAAAAAGACAAAATAGACTTTTTAGTCTAATAAGATAAAACGTCACATCTAATTCATAATCATTACATTTTTTTTTTCACAAAAGTCAAAAAAACAAAAAAACCTATTTCAAACAAGCCTTTTTAGACCCATGTTAATAAAGTCAAAAAGTTAAAAAGCCAACTTACTTTCCAAACGAACCTAATACATGCACAAAATACGTGTTGTTCAACTCTTCGTTGACTAATACATGCATAGAGTAATAAATAGAGCAATGGTAGAGAGGTTTAATATTAGGAGATTGACCAATAAATTATATATTTTGAACTTGTCATCCACATTATAGTGTCATATTTGAAAAAAACATATTAAAGAGTTTTTTAGTATCACATCATACCCGTCACATTAGAGTATCACATGTCACATTTGGAAAAAGTACATTAAAATTTTTTTATTTTTTTAGAGTGTCACATCATACCCACCACGTTGTCATATTTAAAAAAAGTACACTAAGGAATTTTTATTTTTTTTGAAATGTCACATCATACCCATCACGTTGTCACATTTAGAAAAAATTAAACTAGGGAGTTTTTCTTCTTTTTTTTGAAATATCACATCATACCTACCACGTCAAAGTGTCACATGTCACGTTTGAGAAAAGTACACTAAGGAGTTTTTAATTTTTTTTAGAGTGTTACATCATACCCGTTACATTGTTACGCTTGAGAAAAGTATACTAAGGAGTTATTATTTTTTTTTTTGAAGTGTCACATTATACCTGCCGCATTGTCACATTTGAAAAAAGTACACTAAGAAGTTTTTATTTTTTTTGGAGTAAAAGTTTTGGAGTGTTACATTATACCTATCTCATTGTCACATTTAGGAAAAGTACACTAAGGAGTTTTTTTTTTATTTTTTTGGAGTGCTACATTAATACCTACCACATTGGAATATAATATCACACATGTCACATTAATAAAAGGATATAGTTGTCCACCAAAATACTACAAAAAAAAAAAAAAAATAGGACCACATGGAAAGAAACTCTCCACTAATAGGACTTAACATATCAATAGAAAAAACTTGAAACTAATTGGAGTACTTGCTTGTGAGATGAGATTTATTAGTAAATATACCTTTAATATTTGAGCTCTAAAGAGATTTCTACACATGTAGTAAAGAAAAAACAAAAACACACACACACACATAGGCACACACATCTAGCGATGCAACTTGGGCAGGCTTAACCCGAGCAGCCCGAACCCAACCAGAATTTTTTTAGGGCTTGGAAAAAATATTTTCAAATTCGCTATGGGCTTGGATAAAAATTCAGAAGCTTGAATTAAATTTTGGCGGACTTGGGCAAAAACGTCAAATAACCTGAGCAATCTGAAATCCGAATTATACATATAGAGATATATACAAATATTAAATATACATATAAATTAATAGCCATTACATGATATTAAAGCAATTTAGATTATTAAATCATATTGAATATATATTATATATACAAATAACATAAAAATCTTACTTTTTTTATGTTCACTCATAAATTGTAAAGACTACTATAGCGGTTTTCCTCTTACATTATATAAATTATTTTTTTTGATGGTATTAATGATTTTCTATTAAAAAAGTGTAAATAGATTCAAATTTTGCAAAAAAAAAATTGAAATTCATTAACAATTATGGCAATTCAGGTTTAACTCAGGTCGGGCTTAGACAGGCAACCTCGGGTTATAATTCGAGCCTGGGCAGGTGTCAGCACAACGTGGGTTGGGCTTGGACAACCTCTCAACCCGACCGAACCAGCCCGAGTTGCACCCCTACACACATCACATCATAGGTGAGCTCCACCTATTTAGAGCTCCTCTAGAGCTTTCTTTCTAGAGCTCTCAATCATTTTTCTAATAAATATATCAGTGATTGTTGTGGAATTTTCAAAATATTTTTAAAATTTATATTTTAGTTTTTGGGTCTTTGAAAAATCTTTCTTTTTTTCTTTTTTTGTTGGAAAGTTTGAACTAAGTTTAAGAATTTTATCTCACGTTGGACAGAGAGGAAAATATGAAATACTTAATAAAGTACTACATATAATATTATTTTAATATGAAATTTTGGAATGGATGCTAGTGTGTATGCACTCACACTTCAAGAATGTTACATGTGCATGGCATGGGCTGTGTGGCGTTTGATGGCGCACTTTGCATGAATGCATTGCGCAGGTGCTTTTTTATTTACATTGAACAAGTTAGAGCGATGTAACTCTAACCATCATAAGCAATTAAATAAAAGGGAGGAAGACGTGGGATTGGAAGACATACACGTTAATACAAATTTTGTGCCCTCATGCAGGAGGGTCCGAATAAACTAACTAGCTATTACAAAGCCAAATGAATAAACTAGCTAAGCTACCTAACTAATTATTACAACAACAAATTTATTAACTATTTTAGCTAACTAATTATTTACAATACTTTACAAAATTAACTAGCTACAACTAATTAATTACGACAAATATCTAAGCTGATTAATTAGATTAAATAGCTCGGGAAGCGAGGAGTGCTCATGAATGCACGCGGATTTCCACCCGAAAAAGGCCACTATTCTGCTGCCAGATGCCTCTGTTGCACAGTAGAACACTTGCACTGTTTTTTACCTCAAAACAACTCTTTTTTGCTAGAAAAGTACATTGCCTGGTTTTGCAAATGTGACCGGCAAGCTAGAAGTGGTGGCCTGCCGGCCACAAACGATGGTCTGCGGTCTACAAAAGTGGCCTGTCGGCCACTGATGTCTGGTTTTTCCTGCTGCAACAGAGAGCAAACAGAGCAAGCACAGGGTATTCTCAAGGATTGTTTGCACAACTTACCCCTTCTTATCATCAAATAGCTCAAAGGAGTAGTAAACTTGATTCACAAACCATCAATCGATGCAAGTTCAATAAATGCAACAAATAAAGACTCTCAAACCCCCTCTCTATCATGGATTGATCAAGGGAAGTGGTTGACAATGACTCTTGAACCGTTTACATCACTAACAAGTATGAAATGACTCAAGACTCAATGAGTTCAATTAACATCCGATTGAACCCAAGTTGATTATTATCTTGTATCACTTGTAGTCCTAATTTTATTAATTCATTTAATTACTTACCATTCTTTAATCAACTGAGTCCAAAAGTGAGCTTTAAGTCCCCTAATGGAAAGGAGTACCAAACCAAGAGTTATTTTAGGCATGAGAGAAGTGTCATGCTGTTTGTAATAAACCCCTAAATAGATTAAACCATTAAGCACAAGACCTCAATCTCAAGCTTAAAACAAGCAACTACTTTGAACCAACTTTCAAAGCATAGAAAAAGCCAAGAAATGAGGGAGGTTGCTGTGATAACCTTGTTCCGTATTATGCTAATTAATCTAAATTATGCTTGTGGTTATGTGTGTAATATGATTTTGAGTGCCATTCATAT